AAACAACATGGCCAAGATATTGCACAGCTCTTTGAAACAGGTGGCATTTCTTTGGTCTTAATTTCAAGCCTTAAGAAAACTTCCTCTGGTTTCTACATGTGGTCCCCAAATGATTTTCCCACCACGATAATGTCATCAAGGTAAACCAGTCAGGTTTTCCAGGATAGTCCTCTTAGAATCGTGTGCATCAGCCTTTCAAAGGTGGCAGGAGCATTGCACAGACCGAATGTCATCACATTACATAATCCGGTGCCCACCGTGAATGCTGTCTTCTTCCGATTTTCAGGGGCCGATTCTACTTGCCAGTATTCGCTTTTTAGGTCTAGGATGGAAAACATTTTTGATCCAGCCAGGGTATCCAGAGTGTCATCAATACGCGGTAGAGGGTAGCTGTCCTTATTGGTCACGTTGTCTAACATTCGGTAGTCCACACATCTTTATTCTTAACCAAAACTACCGGTGAGGCCCATGGACTGTTGGACGGTTCAATGAGTCCCTCGTTGGCCATACTGTCTACGATCTGGCTAGCCTCCTCTCTTTTAGCAAGTGGGAGCCTTCTTGTCATTTGTCGGATGGGCCGTATTGATCTTGTGCTGGACTATATTGGTTCTTCCTTTTTGTCTAGTATCGAAGACATCCCGATGTCTATGTATTAGATGTTTCAGTTTCTTTCTTTGGTCTGGTCTTAGATCTCTGCCTGATGAAGAAATAAGTTCTTCCAGTTACTTAGGAATGACCCCTGAGTTTTCCACAGCTGGCATATTTCGAATGATTGCAGAAACTGGACAGCAGTGTCTCAGCTCCGAGCCGTTTTTCAAGGACACATGGTAATGACTGACATTCATTAGTCTCACAGGAATAGTTTTATGGGCACGCACAAGGCCCTTTGCAACGTCTATCCCTCGGCCAAAGCCTAGGCATCCTATGTTCAAACAAGACTATTTCTCCGTCCGTAGTCTGGCCCTCTACCGAGCCATTCAATAAAACTTCGCTTCGTTCTGGGATCACGGTATCTTCAGGCAATAGAACTCCTACGTTTCCATTCCTTTCCTGGTGTAATATGATCTCCTTATTGTGGACTCTCGAAATGCCTTGCTTAAAGTTCAAATCGAAGCCCTTTGTATCCATGATGTCCATTCCGATGATTACCTCGTCCTCAATATCAGCTACTGTCGCCGGATGTTTACTTCACCGTACACGTTCGGTGGGTCTCCCGTCGCCGTTCGTAGTCGCCACTTGGATGGTCGAATCTTCGCCGATGCTTTCACCATGTCGGGCCTTATGATAGTCTTTGTCGCACCTGTAACCAGCAGTACGGTGTGGAGAATCCCATCCACAAATGCATCGACAAAAACACTATTAGACTGGTGTTTAACCGAGGAGACTTGGACGGTATTAACTGATGGGGCTTGTTGGCTACAGGTCGACGATAGCCCCTTCACATCGACCTCCCTTAGTTTTCCGGATTGCCCGGATGAGGACTAGCACCTTCAGGACAGCGTCTCCTATCGTGCCCTATTTGTCCACATTTCCAACATTCCAACTTGCTGTTCTGGCGGAGACGTTTACCATCAAGTTCCTTAACAATGTGCTGGACGGATTCTTCGAACTCGTTATCTCCTGGTACCATTTGGCGGACTCGGACCTGGCTTTTGTTTGTGTTTTTAGCGGCTTCGAATTTTAAGGCCCGAGTTAGCGCATCCACTAGCGTAGGTGGATGTGCCTCATTTCACCATCACGAAGTCCATCCAGGAACGCTTGGACTGCCAATCACTCCATTATCCTTTCCTGAACATCGGGGTATGCCAAACGTACCAATCGCGCAATATCCGCTTCGAACTCCTGCAAGGACTCGCCTGACTTCTAGAACCAATTCTTTAGTTGAGTATGGTAGACATGTTCTAAATGTGACTGGCCATATCGCATTTCCAAATGACCTACTAGTTGTTCGTAGACCTCTTGCTCTTCGGGTGATATTCTTTGAAGAATAGCTATAGCATCTGCTCGTAGGGCCAACCATTTGCATTCGCGGCTGCCTCAAACTGACGTCGGTAGGCATTACAAGGCGTTGTACCATCAAATAAACGTTTTGAGAGTCTTTTTTCTTTATCAAGAACCTCAATACTGCCATAATTCATAGAGTGACCTGTGTTGTTAATATGCGACGCCAAAGCACATCTTCCTGGATGTAATCTGGCATCACTTTTGTGTGACGTTATCCTGCCTTTCAGCGACCTAGAAATTTGGCCTATATAAACTAAATTGCAGTTGTTGCAATTAATACGATAGACAGTATTGGTTGAATCAAGCAACTGAACCTTATCTTTCATTTTGGACAACAACCTGTTGACTGTGAGAACTGATTTACAAGCAAAACGACAATTAAAGGGATTATACAGCCTGATCAATTTTGGTGTTAGTTCTTTGATGTATGACAAGACAACATACTCGTAGTTAACTCTGGAAATAGGAGCAACTACTGTAGTGCTGTTGTTCTCATTAGTTGAAGAACTAATGGGTATCTGGTTTGATTGAGCCGTGCTGTCATTTTCACTATTGTTATTAGTGATTGGCAAAATATTCGGAGGAGAGCTGAACAAGATTCTGTTAACCAAATACTTAGGATAGCCATTGTTGATAAATAAGACTGAAAGCTTCCTTGAATTGGAAAGATGGAAAGTACTGTCAGAGATTTTTATAACCCTGTTCTTCATTTGTTTCACCAAGTTTATTTTTATTTTAAGTTCATGGTAAGACCTGAAGTTCAGGAACCTTCCGGAAGAAATTGGTTTCCTATACCAGTCTACCAGTAATAAATTGTCATTGGTACGAATCAATCTTGAATCCAAAAAGGGAACAGATTGATTGTCATCTTCTTTTTGAGAAAGCTTGATTTTATCGTCAAAAGAGTCAACTTAAGCCTAAAAGTTTTGCCAATTTCCCAATTAACAAGCAATTGTATTTTGTACCCAACTAGTCGTTGGCTTTGGCAATGACTACTTCTCACGTATATATATATACAGGGTGACTTTGAAGTTGAGTCATTAATTTTCAGATAATGATTGTAGAAGGAAGATAAACCAAAATATGTGTGTAAAAATTAAAAAAAAAATAAAACAAATTTTTACCTTGTTTTATAAAGTATAGTCCCGACAAGTATTTCAGTGCGCACCTGTATTTGATCGTGAGGTCTTCTGTGAGGTCTTAAGTCACCTGATTCACGAGCCCGTTGTACTACATTAACAAAGGCACGAGGGGTTGGTTGCACTCGATTGGGAAACCGATCCGCATAAACATGTGCCATTTTTTATTTCGTTTGAGCCACGCAACAGATACCACTATTCACTGACACTGACTGTATACAAATGAATGAAATAATTTTAAAAAGCATCGTTCCAAATTCTTTCGCTTTTTTGTTTCCGATGCGATGAACCGATACGGCGGATTATATCCGTTGTCGCCAAACACGACCACATAATATTATTATTGAGACAGGGCGGTACTCAAACTTCCAAAGGGCTATAACTTTGTTACTTTAATTTTACCAGGAAAATGGTAAAGGAAAAAAACATTTATTTTGATCAGATCTACTCACTGTTAAAATAAATGACTCAACTTTTGCTTCCATTTTAAGAAGAAAACTTCCGCCAACCCTACGTGGATAATTTCGGTTATCGAAGAACAGACAGCCGACGCATCATTGTCAGCGAAACAAACATCTGTTCAAAGGAAGGTAGTGGGTATGTCCGTAAAGCCAAATTTTGCGGCCTGTACGAGTTTCTGCTGCCACAGCGGGTTCTGACCGAAACCTAACTTCCACAGCACCGTGGTCTGACTTACTCAGAGGGGCAGGACAGCAGTGCTGTAAGGGACAGGCTGAGTGGCCAAAAGAGATCCAGCAAGCTACTGGCATGTGACGAGACGCGAGGGAAAAAGGGCTCGTCACCAGCCGGGTCAGCGCTTGAGTAAGAGCGAACGCTTCAACTGCACGACCTGCTGCATCGGCCTCGTTTGAGCCCAACCAAAGTTTATTATGGGCATTGAAATCACCGAGGAGAACTACCTCTGAAGCGGGTGATTGATGTTTAGGAAGTCGATCTTGACGGCGAGGTATTCAAGTGGGTCATCCCAGTTATGGTCCGAGGGAAAGCGATAAAGGCAGCAAATAAATTTGGGAGAAGTTTTGGAGTTGAGGCGAAGCCACAGAATGTCCTTCCGGTCTGATTCCGAAGAAACATCTCTGGAGTAGGAATGACTGCTGCGGACAAAAGCCACAACTTCCTCGTTGTTTCTCAGATTGGAGTGCACCTCGTAATTTGGGAAGCTAAGATGGTTAATCGGTGCTAACTCTGAGATTTTTGTCTCCGCCAAGAAAAGCATGGCGGGACGAAGTAGTGTTGAACAGCAACAATGTTGCTGTTAATCCCGCAGATGTTCGGGAAACCAAATTGTATCTTCGATGTTCTTCACTCGAGTCCACCCTCCATCCGGACATTCCAGAGTGGAGTGAGTTTATGTCCGAAATTCTTAGTACTCGAGGGATACATCATCATTAATTTCTTTGTTGGCGGAGATAACCGATTGCGTAGCTTAGATGTGGAAACATGCGGACATTCAAAAGACTGGTCCTTGTCGACCACTTTTATTAGTTAAAGCGTGCACAATCACTTGAATGGGATGAAGTTGTATTCTGGATACAAAAACTTCCGGAACAAGCATTTGCCACAACCCCATTCAGTAGGGGTTTAAATATAGAAGTAGTAGTAGATTAAACGGCCACCAATTTATTCTCTGCTTTGGTCTGTGTTGAGGACACATGCCATTCCCTTCTTCAATTTATTCCATATTTCTTGTTTGTTGGCGGAGCGATAAGTTTACCGTTTTTTATTTAACATTTCGTATGTCATACATATGCCAAGGCATATCCTCTTGACTCCGAAAATGCTACGCCACTGCTAGTGTAGAGTATTCTATATTCTGACATAGTCGCATGTCGTGTCATGGAAAACCATCAAAAACTGCCCTCTAAACCCGCACAGAACGTCCAAGATCCACGAAGTCAGCATAAAGGTAAGATGACTCTGCGCCTTGACTGGTTGTTTTCATTCTTTTTTATATTTCTTATCGCTCCGCACCCCCTCTTCTAAAGGGTTTTACCTCAATCCACCTATCTCTCCTAGCTATCTATTTTTCTCCAACTGAGGCTCTAGCGTCTCACTTGACGAACGCGTGCTTAGGGGCATTCGGAAATCAAAACCTCAAGAAAGAATAGCTGACCCTATCTAAAGCTTTGAATGAAATGAGCCCTAGTAAATAAAGTTATCGATATAGTAGTCTAGTTAGTTATTCTAATATGTAACAAAATATCTGAAACATAAGCCTAAATGATTTTTGTGCATCTGTTCTGTTAAGGGTGACACTTATTTTCAGAATGCTTATGGTAAAGAGCAAGAATTGCAAGATATGCGCATGGGAACTACAACAGCACATATCAAGTACATATTCAAAATTGATATGGTGAAAGAAGAAGCTTGCTTTTTATGAAGTTATCTAATAATCAAGCCGTACATTATTTTCTCGGTGTAGATTTTTATGTATAGCATAGCCGTTGGCTTGAGAAACTGTATATTTAGTACAATATGACATACGAATTTCATAAATCAGAAAATAAAAAATATCTACTTATAAATTAATAATATATAACTTGGCACTGAAGATCTTATACATAAAGAGAGTAACAATCACGAAAGTGAATTAGAGAATTAGAGGTCAACCATCACCAAGACATCTCGCTCTTAGAACCACCACTCAGAACCGCTTGAGGTGATGAAACGGCAGACATTTTCGAGGTTTAAGATCACTTCAGGACACCACATTGTGGGAACTGTAATCTATCCAACGAACGTACGAAGTAATAAAACAAGTGTCAGAGCAGCCCGATTTACACGGAACAAGTACCTGCAAAACCGATAATGCGTTATCGCCAGTGGTGTGTAGGTTTTAAAATTAATTGAGGTACCATTCAATTTATTTTCACTGATTCTTCTATCTTTTCATTACTTTCAAGGTGCTATAAGGTTTATTACATTGATATATTTTACAAGTATAATATAGTTTGCTACAAACTTATTTGTAAAGCCTACCGTATTTTGATAATTATCACTAGTCCTACGACATTTAAAATTGATCTGTTGAGAAAGTGTACATCATAAGGAAGAAATATACCCCTGGGAATATTGGTTAGGTATCTGCTCGCTTGCATATCAGTTTTGGCCATTTTTTTCTTCAGAATATGACATACAATATTTGAAAAATGAAGAAGACGGTAAAAATCAAGTCGATAGCCATAAAATTATAGTCAATAAAAATGAAAATGATTCAGGAACAGCACAAAATCAAGAAATTCTGACGATAATAAATAATGACAAAAATACGGAAGCAGCACTTAAACAAGAAATTAAGTCACTTAATGAGAAAATTGAACTACTAAGTGAATTACTAGCTAAAAAAGATAGGCTAGTTCATCAATTGTCCAACGAAAATCGTAGGTTCCAAGAGCACTACAATCTATTAGCCACCAAGGTCGTAGAAAAGGACACTATTATCAGCACACTGGAAAGACTACATACACGAATGGAAGTATTTTAAAAAACCGCAACTAAGAATGTTTCATACTCTGAGATAGCTGCAAGAAAAGCATCACCAAACAAAGAGACAAGATTTTTGAAAAGCTTAATCATTACACCTGATCAACACCAACCAACCTACAAGACCAGATATGATCTCAACAAAAAGTTAGACCTCTCGAAACTTCAGATAGGCATCGAAAAGGTCAAAAACTACAAAAATGGAGCTGTAGAAATAAACGTTCAAGATTGTGTTCATACCCAACTTAAACAAGAAATCGAAAAAAAATATGCCTACATCCTACAAGATATCTGAACCAAGAATCTTCAAGTCAAAAATAAAAATAGTTGGTTATCGTTCGGAGGAAAAAAAGTGCCGAGAGAGAAGTAAAAGAAGAAATTATAAAACAAAATCACTTTGTGGCTAACGGAGGTATATCCATTACTCATATTAATTATGTTGCGCACAAAAAAATTTATATTATTTTTGCTGGAGTGACAGGTAAATTATTTAGATATATTTTTGATAACAACAATGGAAAATTTTTATTAGGATTTGAAAATATTATCGTTTATAACAACAATATGGTATCACAATGTAAAAATTGCTTCAGGTTTAATCATTCAACGAAAAAATGTCAAAATTGTAAAGTATGTTCAAAATGTGGAGAAAACCATGACATTTCATCCTGCAATCAATCAACCACCAAATATTGTAACTGTGTGTCTGCCAACCACAAGTACAACAAACAATATGATACAAATCATAATCCAACTGATAAAAAATGCCCTACTTTCAAATTCATCCAACAACACATATCACGAGTTTTATTTTGAGAAGAGGATCTTATATACAAAATTTAATTCTAAATTATGAAAGAAAACAAATCTTTTAAATTTGGTCACTTAAATATTCGGTCTCTATTACCTTCTCTATCTGGTTTTGCCTAGATGTTGGAAAATTCGGATTATGATATTTTAGCTCTATCCGAAACACGGCTCAATAAAAACATCTTAGATAGTCTTTTGCATATTCAAGGATATACATTCTATCGAAAAGATAGGGAGAGTCGCGGTGGAGGCGTGGGCATTTACATGAGAAATGGTTTGCTCTGTGAAGTATTACAGATTGAGAACCATATTGGCTACTTTCCTAGTGTTGAGAATATGTGGATTAAATTGAAATTATGTGGTCAAACTCTTGCCTTTGGGGTAATTTACCGACCTCCCCGTAACAATGTTGATGAGGCCATTGATTTTTGATTATGTTGTAGTTGTGGGAGATATGAATATAAATCTTTTAAGTTCAGACAACAAATTAGAAACTTGTTTTCATACGTATGGATTCCATCAAGTTATTATAGAACCCTCTAGAATAACTAGTACTTCGAGCAGCCTACTGGATCCCATATTTATCAATGATCTTCAAGTCTGTTCAAATTCTGGGACTATAAATATGGATTTATTCACCGATCATTTTTCAAGTATTTTGTGAAACAACTTTGCAGTCTAAAAAACGTAAGCAAAAATTCGTTAAATTCGGAGACTTTAAAAATTTTGATATTTTATCATTTCAAAATGACGTTTTAAACTTTCCCTCAACAAAATGATTCAAAATTGTTTTATAGATCCTTAAAATCAATGCGTATCAAACAATCACAAAATACCGATATTCCTCTACATTTAAAGAACCCTACTGACATTAATAATATTTCTGTTCCATTTGTAATAACGCCATTTGTTCATGCACAGAGAAGATTGAGCATTATGAAAAGAATCACTATTCTAGTGATCGCTTCAAGTTTAAACCAATCGACATGACTGATTTAAAATCGATGTTCCAGTCTCTGAAATCGAAATATCATCATGAAATGTTGAATAGCCTTCACTTATATATGTTATTTACATCATATTTTTTATACACCTACATTCTTAAACTTCTAACTCATCAAATGTATTTGGTTTTTTTTGAATTGTATTTTCAGTTTTTCTTTGAGGTTTAGTGGCAGAGTAGCATTATTCTAAACTTCGCCCCCTAAATAAAGACGATGTATTATTATTATATACTTAACATATTTTTTATTACAAAAATAATTTTATACATGGGAAAAAATAAAGAAAAGGACTCAAAAATTAAATTCTTTTTTAGATTGGATTCTGGATCTTTTTAATATAATACCTAATAATGAATCTACCTGCATTCCTTACCACGTTTATTTTGACGGCTCTATCCAGATAGACTTTAAAGTGGATTATCCCAATCATGTGTAATCCTGACCGTTTATTTCGGCAATTCACAAGTCAAACCAAAACTGATAACGTCAAAATCTTGAACAGAGGGCTCCTTCGAAATTAGCGGTCAGGATTAACACAGGATTGGGATAACCTACTTTGAAGTCTATCCGGATAGAGCCGTAGAAATAAACATGGTAATTATATAATTATGTTTAGGGATATAGGTCCTTCGTCATTATCCAGTAAATATACAAATTACATTTATTAACTAATCGCTATCACTATCAGTATAATCTGAAGATTTTGAATCGTTTCCTAAGGTAGTAATCTCTGGTTCAACCACTCTTTCCATACATTGGTCAGTTGCCCACATTTTTTCTTCCTCCTTCTCATCATGTTCGATTGGTTTTTCCCAATTTTCCGGAGATACATTTTGTACCGCGGTGTAAAAAAGCTGCTTTGCATCTGCGATCTTGAAAGTTGTGTTTTTTCTGGAAACTTCGTTTTTAATTTGCGCCCAAATTAACCCGATTGGATTAAACTCGCAATGGTAAGGAGGCAGGCGTAAAATAGTCCGATTGGTAGATTTAGCCATTTCGTCGATGACATACTTCTCAGCACTTTTATTGCCTTTGACCAGATTTAAAAGTTCTGCTTTGACCATATCGTTGTCAAAGGGAACATTATGCCTTCGTAGCCATTCCTGTATTTCCCCTTTTCTGTTTCCACTGTTTGGTGCTACTATGGTATGAAGCATTGTCCATAACAATGACAGCGTTCTCATCTAGACGGCTTATGATAATTTCAAACCATTCTTCAAATGACTTGGCATTCATATCCATGGTGGTGTTTTGATTCAAATACCAATAATCCGTCTTCCACGAAGTCATTATCAGATCCGATGTGTAAGATAACTAGCCGTTTTCCTTTACCTGAAGGATTTTTTAATCCCGCGGAAAGACCTTCCAGGAAGGCTTGCCGAGGATGCTCAACGGATGAATCCACCCATACTTTGCTAAAAGTTTGCCCTGCATTGAGCAGGTAGTATGCCTTCCTGCCTTCTTCTCTATACTTCCAGATTTCGCGTAAGTATCTACGTCTCCAACATATTACCTCGTCATTTTCCTTCAAGATGCTATTTCGCTTCCATCCTACAAAACAAAAAATTACATTAAATCTTTAAATTCGTTAATTCAATAAACCATATTATACGAATAACGAATTTCAGGTGAATCATCTTAACAAAATTGCAAATTTAGTTTAGTCATAAAGTATAGATAAAGAACGATAAAAAACATAAAAAACTCAAACTATTTTTGTTTGTATTTTACTTTCAAGGAGGAATAAAAAACAAAATAAGTTGTTTGTACAACACTTACCGAAAATTAAGTTCCTTTATCAATGTAGCCAACGTCGATCTTTTGAAGTCTGGCAAGTCGTCGTCGTCGTTGATTGATAACAAAATTCTGTCCGATGTGGGTGGTTCGCTTCGGAAGAAAAATTCGTGGACTTTTCTTCGGATTAATGCCTTAGTTTCTTGTGAAACGTTGTCCAAAACTACTCTGGCTCTATGGTAACCTTTGGGAGGAGAAAGATTGTTGCTTATTTTGTGCTCTGCCAAAATTTTATATACACTGCTACTTGATGCTCCTGAAAAATTAATACATTTTGCATATATTATATATACATGCATTAATAAATAATAAAAATTGAAAATAAGTTTTAAAAATCAAAATGTGTGCAATAGAAGTAGCTAACATATTAGTGGGTAAGATATTTAACAGAAAATAACTATTATTTAGAATAATACATCAAACTACAAAACATTTTAAATTATACTTCATAGCTAAATCCTCACCTGATGCTCTTGAAACAAAGGTTACACGTTTTGTCTGAGTTTCATTTGGTTAGCGCTCACGAGAAGCTATATTTATCATAATTTCTTCTCAGAAACCGACCAAGTTCTTTTTGTCCGTTTTCTTGGTAATTGGTCCTCGTCTAATAAGGCACTCATGTCGAAATATTCTTTTAAACGTTGTCTCACAAAAATAAATGAAGCACACAAAAAAAATTCAACCACACGTCACAGACCTTCGGAAAGAATTAAAGTGCTATTGTGAACTTGGCGGCTTATCTACCGAAAACGGATCAACAGGAACGAGGCGCGTGCCGGTCAGATGATTTATTACTCCGAGGTTCGTTGGATCAATTATAGAACCTCTAAGACCCTGCTAAAATTATAGCCAGAATAAAACGATTAGTTACATAATTCCAAGAGGTTATAATTTTTGTGACTAAAGCCCACTGACTCAACTTCTAGACTGTGTTCTAGTCTCTTATCCATAATAACCCAGCAGAAATAATTATAATTTTAGTTACCTGTTCGCTTTCAGAGTCTGAAGATTTATCACATTCTGAGCACTGCCATCCGAATAGCTTGGATTTTTTTGGTAGACGAGTTAAAGGCGGATTCAGACAGCTAAGGTGATAGTATAGGTAACATGTATCACATTTAGCCATCAAGTGTTGGTCGCGGCGTTGTTTGCATGTACCACAGTCATGCAACATTAAATTGTTGTCAGCTAGAAAAAATGCGTAATTATTATGCATTATACAGGGCGATTCAGAGTTCAATTATAGAGCAGAAACTACATCCAACAATATCAAAAAAGTTCATACAAACGTATGTCACAAGCTACATTACCAAGATACAGATGAGAAAAAGCACTATAGTGACATAGGATTTCCTAACATATTACAAACAATTTTCAATGTCAAACTTCACTAACTATTTGTTAAACTGACATACTTTTAGCATGATGTTCACTCAACATACTTCTAGCTGGGGGAATCCTATGCTGACCCTCCAAAGGAAAGCCGACTCCCATTTCTGGTCCAGTTGCTGTTGGAACCATCAGTTGCCTCGGCGGTTGCTAAACATTAGAGGCGTGTATTTAATATGTTGTCAAGTTGAGGCGGAAAAACATTATTGTCACATATGAACTCAGGTGCTACACAAACTTGTGTCATCTCACGTGCTCATGTTTCCGTGTGCTATCATTTAACATTATGTCCATTTACATTTTGAGGTTGGACGTGATATCATGTCTGATTAATGTAACATCTGAAACCTATCATATGGATGTCTCGCTGTCCATGTTATGATCAAATGAAATCACATATGTATAAAAGTTTACTAAAGTTTCGGTTACCTCGGTGGCCTCTTTCGCAGTACAATTCAACATTTCATTGATATATCTTATTCATCTGACTTCCAGATGTCAGTTCATTTGTTTTTGCCGCTACCATTCACTGTGTTCCAACAGCAGCACGAACGCGCGAAACCATCAGTGCAACTTTAAAAATGGCAACACCCTGCTTCCAAAAGACGTTTAACCTTCCCAAAGCGATAAGCGGTTATCGGTTGTTTTAGATGTGCCAGACACGTCACCCTGGCTTATCACCTCGAAAACGCCAAACGACCAATCCAAAACTGTTGTTGCAACACACCGGTGCAATTTTCGACTGCTAGCTGCATCTGCATTATTCATGGATTCGAAGTGCGAGAATCGGTCCTGAGTTACCTCAAACTATAAAGACACAACCGTTTGGCCTCGAGATGGCGAAAGCAAACATCTACGCATTTGAGATTCAATAGCAAACCATACGAAAAAAACCTGGAAGAAAAAAAAATGGTCTGCCAGTCGGTTGGAGGATATCAATTATGCATTTTCTTCAAGGATACTCAACCAAATCAGGTCACAATCTACGGAGGAACTCCTACTTTGAAGGAAAGATATAACAGATGTTTTGCTTCGCCACGTCGAGGTCCAACTGTCTATCTTTATCAGTTTTCCAGAAGACGAACAACATGGTATTCTTGAGGGGTCGAACTATTTCTCTCTCTCTCTCTCTTTATGATCGGTGCGACGTTGCCGAATTGTAACTAAATCATGAATGCATGATTTGATGAAAGTTATTATCTATTATTGATAAACATAACAGAGGAGTTGAGAAAGCCATAGACTCCAAACCAGAGGTACGAAATTGAACACAGAAAAAATAATGATCATGTCGCAACTGTGGACGCATTAACAACGTCGTAGGGCAGCCTGTTCCAGGTATCAAATAGGGTAAATCGTTAGTTATCGGGCACCTGACAGTTATTGGACATTGCTGTTTCAAAACCGAATACTAAGAGTTCTTTCTGTATGGCGTATTTTGTTCAGTTCTCGACAGATGGCATCTCTATATATGTTAACAGATTTCTATTCGGTTGCGCATACTTCCACGCCGGTGCTGTGATTATGGCGGGAAAATTTTATAGGTTTTTTTCTTGACTCTGAAGCTAAAGTTTATGTTAGCTTTGCGGTTCAGGTAGCGACAAAAAATTCTATATTTGTTCTCAAGGTAAGCATCTATTTTTGTATTGCGCTCATACTGATATTTGTTGTCAAGCTTTAGACTGCATCAAAAACAAGTTTGAGTTGATAATTACAGAAATATGTTCTGTCCAATCACTCATAGTTTTTTTTCAACTAATTTCGGTTATTGGACATCTGTCCAATCACTGAAAAATATTAAGTTGTTCTGTGTTCACTCGATTCAGTGAATCTATATACAAGAAGGGATATTTTTCTATTTATATTAACTTGGCAATAAATTTGATAGACAACTGTCCAATAGCTAAACTTGGCCGTCCAGTAGCCGAGTTTGGGTCTCTAATATTTGGTCTACATTTTAGGAACTAGCAATATGCCGAAATTAAGGCAATACGACAAGTCGAAACTTGAATACGCTCTCAGAGACATACAAAACGGCACAGAATCTTACCGAACAGTCGAAAAAAAGTATGGAATTCCGAAATTCACTTTAGAATTTAAACTGAAACATCCCGGTCATAAAGAAACCTTGGGTCCATCGCCAATTTTAACAAGTGATATTTTATTAGTGTCTAATAACACGAGACTAATTTTATAAATATTTATCTGCAGCTGGATAAAAGATAATGCGCAAAGGGTTTTCCAAGAAAGGCCAACGATTTGAAGAATAGCCTACACAGATTTTTGACTGTTAAGCCGCGCACACACAAATTCAATGATTACCGACCTGGAGATGGGTGGGCTAAGGTATCCCAGCAAATAAGTAATGTATAATTAGTAACTACTTATAGATATTTTCAACGTTACAGGGATTCTTGAAAAGGCATCCCAATATCTCTAAAAGAACAGCTGAAGGGGTTACTTCGTCCAGTGCATGTATCTCAGAACAGGACATCAGAAACTGGTTTGTCAATATCTATGACTACCTCAAGCAAACAAATCTAGAAGATGTGCTTAAAGATCCTTCAAGGATTTTTAATGCCGACGAGTCAGGATTTGAGATTTGTCCTTCCACTGGGAAGGTGTTTGCAGCAAAAGGGACAAGAAATGTGTATTCTGTAGAACGCGGTTCTTCGAAAGAAAACATCAGCGTGCTGTTTACTTTCTCATCAGATGGTACGACTTGCGTGCCAATAGAAGTTTTCCCTTATCAACGCATTCGTGAAAAAATAACTAAAGGTATTAATCCTAAGTTGGGCGTAGGAAGAAGCGACAAAGGATGGATGACATCCGAAACATTTTATCAATATATAGCAAATGTTTTCTATCCCCATCTGAAGGAAAATTCCATCCAATTGCCAGTGATCGTCTTTCTCGACGGTCATAAGAGTCACCTGAATTGTCATCTGAGCATTCTATGTAATGAACTACAAATTGAAATCATTTCACTGTATCCTAATGCTACAAGGATTTTGCAACCCTATGATGTATCCATTTTCCGACCAATCAAAGAAGCTTGGCGTCAGTCAGTACGAAAGTGGGAAGAACATCCGGAGCAAATAGTAAACAAAGTCGTTTTTGGTGGTATTCTAGAAAATGCTGTTAATAAGAGCTTCAAAGCAGAAACAGTTGTAAACGGGTTTAAAGTCTGCGGTTTGTATCCTTTCAATCCAGATAACGTCGATTATACAAAATGTCTAGGAGTGGGGACCATGCAGCAACCAAATATTGGTGTAGAAAATCTTACTCAGCACAAGATGACCTACGACAAGTTCGCAACAATAGTTGGTCCCAAAAAAATCGAAATGTTCCAAAATATTGATGGAAAAACGGCAGAAAATGAAATTTCCGATGAAAATTAGCGTCTATTATTCAAGACTTGGAGATTCTGCCGAAACGGTGATACAATACCTACGGATATCGCAGAGCGAAAAAATTAAATTAATATTATATAAAATATAGTAATAATGTAGCTACCGTCAATGTAATGTGTAAGCAAATAATTCCTCCCAACCGAGTCGTAGTTACAAACAATTTGTTAGGAAGCTTCCTAGAGTCACCTTCTGCGCCAGCAAGAAAGGGTAAACGAAACTTCGAGAGATTCCCTTTTGCTATAACATCTGAGAGATATCAGGAGATGTTCAGGAAAAAAGAAGAATTAAAGAAACAGCAGGAAGAAGAGAAGGAAAATAGAAAAAGGAAGGAGCAGGAAAAACGAAACGAAAAACAAGGTAAAGGTAAGAATTCACAAACAGCAACACAGTGCTTGCTCTGCCTGCCTAAAGGGCATCAGATCTGGTGAATTACAATGTGATGACTGTAAACGATACTATCATCAAGACTGTGTTCCACAAAGCCAGGAACATCACATACCTAGCGATGACCATTTATACATATGTCATAACTGCTACAGATTGAGTGATAGTGACGAGGATTGTGAAGATATTGATGATCAGGAAGTCGATGAATTATACGACCAATACAATCAGGCAAAAAAAAAACATTTTACAAATGATTATACCACATTATATATAACCCGTCCAATAACTGGATTTTCAGTGTCCCATATCTAAATGATGCGTCCAATAACTATAGTTTTTTGCATATGTTCAAATTATCATTGTTAGTCTAATTAATAAAGCCTCTAACTTCCTTTATATGTAGTTTCCATTGTCTCTTTGCCATAATTGAAAGTCTGGCTCTCATTTAAGGTTGTCTAAAACTTAACTGCTCCATAATTGTCTGGTTTACCCTACTCGGTAATTGGCGAGGTGTAGTTCTAAACTTCTATTCCATTAGTTTATAGTTGCGGCCTTGCAGGTGGTTGGTGTTAGGACGGAAAAGTGAGGATATGTCAGTGCCGAAGAAGCGTCTATCGGATAAGTGAGCTGAGTTGAGTAGGTTCAGTCTCTCCTCTTAAAAAGATTAATGATCGTTGGATACCGTAAGGGATGCGTGTAGGCCTCCTCTATACAGGGTGTCCGCAAAGTTGGGGTTTTCCTTTACACGACGTGTACATCTTGAAAACATAAGCATTTTTTCTTAGTACCATATACACCAATGTCTTACGGGAACCGAGATAAAGGGCTCTGCAACATCAAAAATATCTGAATACCGTCCTGTAGCCGCGACCCGCGACATCACCGAGTGGTACAAGGTCACTGGCTCAACCCGACGACAGAACTGGGTCGGGGTCAGTGTGTCAGGTCAGTATGCAACCTTCAACCGACGGTTACGGTCACACGTGTAGAGGTAAACGAACCCGTATAATCGATTGCGTTTCAAAAAACAACAAGCACTAGAGACGTGCAAGTATCAAAAACTAAAGTGTGGCAAACGCTGCGTGAAGAGGGGCTGTATCCGTTTCACGTCCAAGGTGTACAAGCCCTGCAACCTGACGATTTTCCAGCAAGAGTGCGGTTTTGTGAGTGGTTGTTGCATCAACATGACAATAATCCGGACTTTTTGAAGTGCATATTGGTGACAGACGAATCTACGTTCACGCGTAATGGGGTGAATAACTTTCGCAACACTCATGGTTGGTCAGTAGAAAATCTGCAATATGTTCGGTGAATGTTTGGGCTGGCATGGTGAACGGTATCCTCATTGGACCATTTATTCTCCCAAATCGATTGGACGGGATGCAATACCTAGACTTTTTACGCAACATTTTGCCTTCCTTGTTAGAAGATGTGCCATTAAGTGTAAGACAATCAATGTGGTTTCTGCACGATGGTGCACCTCCCCATTTTAGACGCGAAGTGCGTGAGTTTTTGAATGAATTATTTCCGAATAGGTGGATCGGACGTAATGGACCCGTAGCGTGGCCTCCGCGATCTCCAGACTTAACACCATGTGATTTTTTCTTTGGGGAGAAATGAAACGCTTAGTGTACAAAACTGAAGTGCATATGGTTGACGAACTTCGTCTCAGAATTGAACAAGCTGGTGCTTTCATTCGGGGGAGGGACTCCATTCTCAAAGCCTGCACCGATGCTTGGCTACGTCGTGCACGCACCTGTGTTTTTGAATCAAACGGCGATAACTTCGAACAATACCTATAAAGTACGTTTACCTAAAAACTGAAAACGCGGCAACGCCGTCATATTTGTTACCTCTGTTCGTGGTCTGCACCACCGCCGGCGTCTGCTCGGTAGCGCATCAGGTGATTTCATTTTCTGTTGGAGCGGCATGATTTCGGGCAGAGACGTACTTAGCCCTTCTCGTCAACTGGAAAGTGAGTACTTTTTCCTTTATCTTTTTTTTACTTTGTCTCCCTCGTTTCACTACAGATTACCTTTGTTATTTCAAGGGTAGTTGTTTCTGTAAAGGAAACCCCCAACTTTGCGGACACCCTGTATATTTTCGAACAGGTCTCGGACACGTTGTAGCGCATGGATACCAAACAGGTCTAGAGAATTCCATAATTGGCATGCCATATGTTGTGTACAAGAGCCCAGCAGTAGAACTATGATAGTAATTAAATGATCTTTCAATAAGGTACAGACTCCTTTTGCCATGATAGACTATCCGATGCAACAACTCCTAAGTCTATGTGACTGGAGACAGAGGAGATTTCCTGGTTCCCGATGATGTTTTTGATCTTTGAATTGTGATTTCCAATGTGTAGAACACAGCAATTCACCAAGTTGAGGGGCAGCAGTCACCTTATGGACCATTCATAAACGTTGTCGAGGTCGCGTTGAAGGATGTTATCATAGGCATAGGCATATCATGGAATATATGACACAAAGTGGAGAATTTGTTTGTCAGCTGGAATTAATTAATTCAATTGATCAATTAATGACTTCCAGGATATCCAGTCATCATGTTTGGAGCAGATGCTGAGATGTTAGACGACGAGAAAACCTCGCCTTCGCGTGAGAACTCTTGCAACTCTTTTTTTTCATAATTACGTTTGTTGAGTGCCCCTTGAGATGCCTTAAAACGTAGCCGAACATAAATCCAGATAAAATTTTGCCAGCTGCTTTATGGCCGATCCCTGTCGAGGACCGTGTCAGTGACTCGCCTTCTAGATCCACGCGAAGTGACCTCGACGATTCTGGAAGGTCCCTATGTGGCTGACCAGAATGTTCTCTACCCCACGATGCGGACTATATAACTCGACGGCCGGGAGAGGGAAGGAAGAGTACATTAGAGTAGAGCAGAGTGGAGTATAGTTCAGTCAATGGCGCGAGATAAGAATTAGTCAGACATAAATAGTGGTGTACATAAATGTTCTCTAGTCAAGATAAATAAATTAGTGCATTTCTTTTTGTGGAATCCAGGCGAGATCTCGCCGACTTACTCCAGACGATGAAGACATAGATCTTCGAAAGCTTGAGAGTTTAAGTTATAAGAGTGTACTTTTGCAATACTTTGCCTTCTACCCAAAGAAATTAAAGGATATTTTCTCCTAACAGTTAAATCAAATAACTATGAATACTATACAGGGTGTTCCTTAATGATATGCGCATATTTAAGGGTGTGAATCTACATGAAAAATTAATGTTAGTTTGCTTTATAAACTATGGTCCAAAAATGATTCCTTACAAAAACTCGGGGTGTTAAGTTTTAGGAGAAAAATGGAAATTAATTAATATTTTCAGAGCCGCTTCACATATTTCACTGACATTTAGTACGTAGTGAAAGTTAATAAAGTTATATTTTTCAAAAATAATTTTTAGCTTTAACAGTGGCGTGCGTACGGGTATTGACTTCGATATTTTTTAAGAAAACAAATTTAAAACAAATGATCTCTCTTGAGTTGCTTTACTTCGATGCGCCATTTTTGAGTAAAAAAATAAAAACCGTTCTATTGTCTAATTTGCAAAATTATTATTAACTGGAAAAATTAAACACATTAGGGGTAATGAACAACAACAACTGACAACATAAATATAACATTACAATCCACGAAATGATTACAAAAATTGTTGAAAATAGCCTCTTTCACTTAGTATGCATGCTTCTGCCCTCCTTCTCATGGAATTGCGCACTAGTTGAATTATCCCTGGAGTGTTTTATATTCTATCACAAGCTGCAACTAGTATTTCTCTTAATTCCTCTACAGTGTTAATGGGACTTGTATACACTAGTGTCTCAAGATAGCCCCACAAAAAAATCTAAACTGTTGAGGTCTGGGAACCTTGGTGGCCATTCTTGGGGCCCACCGCGGCCAATCCATCAATTCGGATAAACAGTTAAATTAATAATTACGAACCGCTACACTGAAATGCGCTGGTGCACCATCATGCATGTACCACATATTGTTTCTTATTACTAATGGAACATCATCAAGCAGCAAAGGCAACTGTTGTTGAAGAAAATTGAGGTAAGTCTGTCCGTCAAGTCGTCCTGGCAAGAAGAATGGGCAATAAAGTGGTTGCCAATAATTCCTGCACATACGTTAATCGAAAATTAGTGTTGCAAATGGGTTTCACACTTAGAGGTATACCTTCAGATTTCCTTTTCAAATATCTGGCAAAGCACGATCGGGATATCTCTGGGCGATAAATCCGTCTGGCTTGCTCACCATTACCGTCGGCAAGGCCATATACGCAATGCATTTCCGCTATTTCTGCATTTGAATAATTCAGCATAATTAACAAGATTGTAAAAACTAAATAATGAAAAAGATGTCACCGCGAACAGATTTGAATAACAGAGACTCGTCAGATGTCAAGAGCCAGTGACATATTCCAGAGCAACTAGATATTTATTGCTAAATTGCATTCTTCAATTATTATATTAATTTTCTCGAACAGGTTTTTATTTTTTTACTCAAAAATGGTACATCGAAGGAAAGCAACTCAAGAGAGATCATTTGTTTTAAATTGAACGGGGAATTCAAAAATAATTTT